GGGGTGTTACGGCAGCCCAGCTGCCTGCCGGGGTTCCCGGGTAGTAAAAGTTTAAGGCATAAAACCATTAAACGATATATTGACCGTATGGTTTGTTGAATGTAGTCATGTATGTATTTCATATTTACTTTACTGCAGATACTCTCAGTGGCGTTATTGTACTGAGCGATATATTTGAAATACCCTGACCTTGTTAGTAGTGTGTTACAGCCGCAACAACTGTGAATCTTTAAGATTTCCAGAAGCTTTCGAAAAAAGTTTTATGATCAACACATCAAGTCTGATATTCCTGACACGTTCGGCTTTCTCTCTGAAGAGAGACGCTGCTGAGGGTAAATGAATAAGCAGTAGCTGTGCACGGGGGCAGTGAAGAACAAGGCACCTGTTAAATGCAGTCGCAAGGCTTATGAAGAAGAGGCAAGATTTTGCCTCAGTCAAAAAAAAAAAAAAAAAAAAAAGTTTGGTTTTTAAATCTTAAAAGACTTTGGAGGTTTTGCAGCAGCCCTGGGATGACGGTGCGCAGTGAGCTCTCCAGAGCAGCCTTTGCACCGGGGCCACCTCCCTGCGCCTCTCGGGACGCGCTTGCTTCAAACTCGAATAAAGGAAGCTCTTCCTGCCCCAGAGTCACTGTATAAATATAATCCTGGCAAAAGCAGACACAATAAAACAAATAGTTGACAAGTTTTTAAGGAAACGGCAATAAGGATGATGAGCTTTAGGGCAAGCATTGCTCTGTTTGTCTTCTCGTAGATGAATCACGGTTGTGTCACTCTTCCGGGGCTCCGAGCAGAGCGCTCGCGTCCTGTGGGAGCTCCGCTGCTCGGCCTCCTTCGGGCTGTGGTCCTGTGCCTCCCCTTGCTGCGAAGGAGATGGTCCTCGCCACAGCACCTGAAACGCTTTGCTAGAAAAAATAACCCGTGCTTCACTGAAATAGAGTTTCATTTGCAGCGTTGTCCTCCGCTCTTCTTTGCATCTCATGTAGTGAAGTGGGGGGGGGGGGGGACCTGGTGCCATTTCCTTA